CTTATTAGATCGAATAAGTACCTTGTGTCAGAATTGAGAAATTCTATGGCTCGGATCTTTAGTATTCTTTTATTTATTACCTGTGTCTACTATTTGGGCAGAATACCGTCACCCATTCTTACTAAGAAACTGAAAGAAACCTCAAAAACGGAAGAAAGGAGGGAAAGTGCGGAAGAAACAGATGTAGAAATAGAAACAGCTTCCGAAACGAAGGGGACTAAACAGGAACAAGAGGAATCCACCGAAGAAGATCCTTCTCCTTCCCTTTTTTCGGAAGAAAAGGAGGATCCGGACAAAATCGATGAAACGGAAGAGATCCGAGTGAATGGAAAGGAAAAAACAACGGACGAATTCCACTTTCACTTTAAAGAGACATGCTATCAAAATAGCCCAATTTCTGAGACTTCTTATCTGGATGGGAATCAAGAAAATTCGAAGTTAAAAATACTTGAAAATAAAGAAAATTATATAGAAGAAAATAAATACCCCTTCTGGTTTGAAAAATCGCTTGTGATTCTTCTTTTCGACTATAACCGATGGAATCGACCATTGCGATATATAAAAAACCAACACTTTGAAAAGGCTGTAAGAAATGAAATGTCACAATATTTTTTTTATACATGCCAAAGTGATGGAAAACAAAAAATATCTTTTACGTATCCACCCAGTTTATCAACCTTTTGGGAAATGATACAAAAAAAGATGTCCTTGTACACAATAGAAAACCCCCCCTCTGACGAACTATACAATAATTGGATTTATACCAACGAAGAAAAAAGTAAGAACTTAAGCAACGAATTTATAAACCGAATCGAGGCTCTAGACGGAGGATCCCTTTCTTTGAATCTACTTGAAAAAAAAACTAGATTGTGTAATGATGAAACCAGGCAAGAATATTTGCCTAAAATGTATGATCCTTTCTTGAACGGATCGTCTCGTGGAACAATCAAAAAAGGGTTTTCACCTTCAATCATAAATGAAACTTACATAGAAAATTTTATAGAAAAAATTTGGATAAATAAGATTCACGGTATCCTTTTTACTGATACAGATTATCGAGAATTTGAACAAAAAATAAATACATTTGATAAAAAATTATTATCAATAGACAAAAGAATTGATGGAGCAAAATTTTTGAAATTTTTATTCAATGGAATTATAAATGATCCTAATGATCAAAAAATGAGAAAAAAATCTATTGAAATACAAGAAATCATTAAAAAAGTTCCTCGGTGGTCATACAAATTAATCAACGATTTGGAACAACAACAGGAAAGAGAAAATGAAGAAGACGGGACGGTGCAACAGCAGATTCGCTCAAGAAAAGCGAAACGTGTAGTGATTTTTACTAATAACCAACAAAATATCGATACTGAGACTGAAAATTCTAATCAAAAAGATGAAGTGGCTTTAATACGTTATTCACAACAATCGGATTTTCGTCGAAACATAATCAAAGGTTCTATGCGCGCTCAAAGACGTAAAATAGTTATTGAGGAACTGTTTCAAGCAAATGTGCATTCCCCCCTTTTTTTGGACAGAATAGACAAATCCCTCCTTTTTTCTTTTGATATCTCCAGACTAATGAAACTCATTTTGAAAAATGGGATGGGAAAAAAAGAAGAATTCAAAATTTTAGATTATACAGAAGAACCAATAAAAGAAGGAAAAAAAAAAGAAGAGAACAAACGAAAGGAGAAAACGCGGATAGAAATAGCAGAAGCCTGGGATACCATTCCGCTTGCTCAAGTAATAAGAGGTTCCATGTTAGTAACTCAATCGATTTTTAGAAAATATATTATATTACCTTCATTGATAATAGCTAAAAATATTGGCCGTATTTTATTATTGCAATTTCCCGAGTGGTCTGAGGATTTAAAAGAATGGGCTGGCGAAATGCATGTTAAATGCACCTATAACGGTGTTCAATTATCAGAAACAGAATTTCCGAAAAATTGGTTACTAGATGGTATTCAGATAAAAATCTTATTTCCTTTCTGTCTGAAACCTTGGCACAAACCAAAGCTACGGCCCTTCCATAAAGATCGAATGAAAAAGAAAGGAAAAGTAAAAAAAGCCGATTTTTGTTTTTTAACAGTTTGGGGAATGGAAACCGACCTTCCTTTTGGTTCTCCTCGAAAACGGCCTTCTTTTTTTGAACCCATTTTTAAGGAACTCGAAAATCAAATTGGTCAATTGAAAAATAAGTCTTTTATAGTTCTAAGAGTTTTAAAAGAAAGAATCGAATTCTTTCTAAGGGTGTTAAACGAAACAAAAAAATGGGTTATCAAAAGCATTCTATTTATAAAAAGAATACTAAAAGAACTTTCAAAAGTAAATTTAATTCTATTATTTAGATTGAAAGAAGTAGATGAGTCGAGTGAAACTAAAAAAGAAAAAGATTCTACAATCAACGATCAGAAAATTCATGAATCGTTTAGTCAAATTCGATCTACGAATTGGACAAATTATTCACTGACAGAAAAAAAAATGAAAGATCTAACTGATAGAACAAGCACAATAAGAAATCAAATAGAAAGAATTACAAAAGAGAAAAAAACAAAAACTCCAGGAATAAATATTAGTCCTAACAAAACAAGTTATAATGTTAAAAGATTAGAATCACCAAAAACTATTTGGCAAATGTTAAAAAGAAGAAACGTTCGATTACTCCGTAAATTACATTATTTTATAAAATTTTTCATTGAAAAGATATCCATGGATATCTTTCTATATCATTAATATTCCCAGAATCAATACACAACTTTTTCTTGCATCATCAACAAACAAAATTATTGATAAATACATTTACAATAATGAAACAAATCAAGAAAGAATTGCTAAAAGAAATAAAACTACAATTCACTTCATTTCCACTATAAAAAAGTCACTTTATAATATTAGTAATAATAATAAAAATTCACAGATTTTTTGTGACTTACCCTCCTTGTCACAAGCATATGTATTTTACAAATTATCCCAAACCCAAGTTATTAACTTGTATAAATTAAGATCTGTTCTTCAATATCACGGAACATCTTTTTTTCTTAAGAATACAATAAAGGATTATTTTGGAACACAAGGTATATTTCATTTCGAATTAAGCCATAAGAAACTTCGGAATTCTGGAATGAATCAATGGAAAAATTGGTTAAAAGGTCATTATCAATACGATTTCTCTCGGATTAAATGGTCTAGATTAATACCACAAAAATGGCGAAATAGAGTCAATCAACGTCGTACAGCTCAAACTAAAGATTTAAACAAACGGGATTCATATGAAAAAGACCAACTAATTCATTACAAAAAACAAAAAGATTATGAAATATATTCATTGCCGAATGAAAAAGACAATTTTCAAAAAAACTATAGATATGATCTTTTATCATATAAATCTATTAATTATGAAAATAAGAGGAACTCATATCTTTATGGATCACCGTTCGAAGTAACTAAGAACCAAGAAATTTCTTATAATTACAATACACATAAACACAAATTATTTGATATGCCGGAGATTACCACTATCAATAATTATCTAGGAGAAGGTGATATTGGGTATATGGGAAAAAATCCGGATAGAAAATATTTTGATTGGAAAATTATACATTTTTGTCTTAGAAAAAAAGTCGATATTGAAGCATGGATCGAAATAGATACCAACAGTAATAAAAATACTAAAACCGGCACTAAGAATTATCAAATAATTCATCAAAGTGATAAGAAAGATCTTTTTTATCTTCCGATTCATCAAGATCCCGAAAGTAATCCACCCAACCAAAACAAAATCTTTTTAGATTGGATGGGAATGAATGAAGAAATACTAAATCGTCCCATATTGAATCTGGAATTTTGGTTCTTCCCAGAATTTTTGTTACTTTATAATATATATAAAATAAAACCATGGGTTATACCAAGCAAATTGCTTCTTTTAAACTTAACTATAACTGACAATTTGAGTAAAAATAAAAACATCAACGGAAAGCAACAAAGGAATCTTTTTATACCACCGAATAAAAAACAATCTTTTGAATTAAAGATAAAGAATATAAATCAAGCAGAAAACGAAAAAGAACCCGCAGGCCAAGGGGATCTTGGATCAGATGCACAAAACAAAAAATATCTTGGGTCCCCTCTCTCAAACCAACAAAACGATATTGAAGAAGAGTATCCGGAATCAGATATGAAAAAACGTACAAATAAAAAACAATACAAGAATAACACGGAAGCAGAACTCCATTTCTTCTTGAACAAGTATTTGCTTTTTCAATTGAGATGGAATGAGACTTTGAATCAAAGAATGATCAATAATATCAAAGTATATTGTCTCCTGCTTAGACTGAGAAATCCAAAAGAAATTGCTATATTCTCGATTCAAAGAAGAGAAATAAGTCTGGATATAATGCTGATTCAAAAGAATTTAACTCTTACAGAATTGATGAAAAAGGGAATATTGATTATCGAACCCGTTCGTCTGTTTTTAAAAAACGACGGACAATTTATTATGTATCAAACCCTCGGTATTTCATTGGTTCATAAGAGTAAGCACAAAACTAATCAAAGATACCGAGAAAAAGAATATCTTGATAAGAAGAACTTTGATGAATTCATTGCAAAACATCAAAAGATAACTGGAAATATAGACAAAAATCATTATGATTTGCTTATTCCTGAAAATATTTTATCATCTAGACGTTGTAGAGAGTTGAGAATTCTAATTTGTTTCAATTCAAAGAATAGAAATGGTATGGATAGAAATCCAGTATTTTGCAACGGGAACAGCATAAAAGACTGGGGTCCATTTTTGGATGAAAATCCGCATCTTGATAGCGAGAAAAATAAATTAATTAAATTAAAGTTTTTCCTTTGGCCCAATTATCGATTAGAAGATTTAGCTTGTATGAATCGTTATTGGTTTGATACCAATAATGGAAGTCGTTTCAGTATGTTAAGGATACATATGTATCCACGATTGAAACTTTGTTGATGGTACATTTTTCCTCTATATCCTCTATCATATCTAGTATCTAAAAGCAAACAAAACAAATGCGCACATGCCTTGTCTTACACTAATATACGATACCAATTCAATGACGTATCCATTCGATATAGAAATGAATCTTCTTTATTTTAGGCCTAAATTATTCTCTTTCGTAAGTGCAGAAATGTATTATCCTTTTGTATTCCTATCCGACTCCAATTTTAAATTGAATTGATTATTGATTCATTTTACTTGATAAAATTGGAGTCCATAAAGAAATTTAGATTATTGTGTATATCAGATTAAAATGACTAGCCTTATTATTATTACTGATCGGTAAAATTAATATATGTAAAAGGGGGGTTCTTTTATGGTAAAAAATCCATTCATCTCGGTTATTTCCCAAGAAAAAGAAGAAAAGAGGGGGTCCGTTGAATTTCAAGTATTCGTGTTCACCAATAAGATACAGAGACTTACTTCCCATTTGGAATTGCACAAAAAAGACTATTTATCTCAGAGGGGTCTGCGGAAAATTCTGGGAAAACGTCAACGGCTATTGGCTTATTTGTCAAAAAAAAATAGAGTACGTTATAAAGAATTAATTAGTCAGTTGGGTATTCGAGAGACAAAAACTCGTTAATTTGATGAGTCATTTTGAATTATTCGCTTAATTTTTGATGAACTTCTTTTCGCTTTCAGCAATTCATGGAAGAATGAATCGGGGAAAAACTTATGACTGCAACAGCTACAAGAAAAGACCTCATGATAGTCAATATGGGCCCTCAACACCCATCAATGCATGGTGTTCTTCGACTCATCGTTACTCTAGATGGTGAAGATGTTATTGACTGTGAACCAATATTGGGTTATTTACACAGAGGGATGGAAAAGATTGCGGAAAACCGAACAATTATACAATATTTGCCTTATGTAACACGTTGGGATTATTTAGCTACTATGTTCACAGAAGCAATAACCGTAAATGCACCAGAGCAGTTAGGAAATATTCAAGTACCCAAAAGGGCTAGCTATATCAGAGTAATTATGTTGGAATTAAGTCGTATAGCTTCTCATTTGTTATGGCTTGGCCCCTTTATGGCCGATATTGGTGCGCAGACCCCCTTCTTCTATATTTTTCGAGAAAGAGAATTAATATATGACCTATTCGAAGCTGCTACCGGTATGCGAATGATGCATAATTATTTTCGTATCGGAGGAGTAGCTGCTGATCTACCTCATGGTTGGATAGATAAATGTTTGGATTTTTGCGATTATTTTTTAACAGGGGTTGCTGAATATCAAAAGCTTATTACGCGGAATCCTATTTTTTTAGAACGAGTTGAGGGGGTGGGCATTATTGGAGGCGAAGAGGCAATAAATTGGGGTTTATCAGGACCAATGCTGCGAGCTTCTGGAATACAATGGGATCTTCGTAAAGTTGATCATTATGAGTGTTACGATGAATTTGACTGGGAAGTCCAATGGCAAAAAGAGGGGGATTCATTAGCTCGTTATTTAGTACGAATCGGTGAAATGAAAGAATCCATAAAAATTATTCAACAGGCTCTAGAAGGAATTCCGGGGGGGCCCTATGAGAATTTAGAAATCCGACGCTTTGATAAAGTAAGGAATCCCGAATGGAATGATTTTGAATATCGATTTATTAGTAAAAAACCTTCTCCAACTTTTGAATTGTCGAACCAAGAACTTTATGTAAGAGTCGAAGCCCCAAAAGGGGAATTGGGAATTTTTCTCATAGGAGATCAGAGTGTTTTTCCTTGGAGATGGAAAATTCGCCCACCAGGTTTTATCAATTTGCAAATTCTTCCTCAGTTAGTTAAAAAAATGAAATTGGCCGATATTATGACGATCCTAGGTAGCATAGATATCATTATGGGAGAAGTTGATCGTTGAAATGATAATTGATACAACAGAAGTACAAGCTATCAATTCTTTTTCCAGATTGGAATCGTTAAAAGAGGTCTATGAGATCATATGGATGCTTGTCCCTATTTTGACTCTTGTATTAGGAATCACAATAGGTGTACTAGTAATTGTTTGGTTAGAAAGAGAAATATCAGCAGGAATACAACAACGTATTGGACCTGAATACGCCGGCCCTTTGGGAATTCTTCAAGCTCTAGCAGATGGGACAAAATTACTTTTCAAAGAGAACCTTCTTCCATCTAGAGGAGATCCTCGTTTATTCAGTATCGGACCATCCATAGCAGTTATATCAATTTTACTAAGTTATTTAGTAATTCCTTTTGGCTATCGCCTTGTTCTAGCCGATCTCAGTATTGGTGTTTTTTTATGGATTGCTATTTCAAGTATTGCTCCTGTTGGACTTCTTATGTCAGGATATGGATCAAATAATAAATATTCCTTTTTAGGTGGTCTGCGAGCTGCTGCTCAATCAATTAGTTATGAAATACCATTAACTCTATGTGTGTTATCAATATCTCTACGTGTGATTCGTTGAGACAAAAACTTTCCCTATTTCCTTGCTTTATAGGAAAGAAGTTAAATGCGTTGAATACATATTTTCATATTTTTTATTCAACATTTGGGTTGATGAATTAAACCAGATAGTTATATGAGTGAGAAAAACAGCTTTTAAATTCGCAGTAAAAAGATTGAGTCTCATTTCCTATGTACAAGAGTTAAGTGAAAGTAAACATAAACAGTAGAGGCTGCTTACCCCAAGATTGGTTGATTAGTCATCATGTCTTGAAGCGGGTTCAAAAGATCAACTGGATGGGGTTTTTATTATTTATTACCAGACATGTATTATTATAATGGGGGATTGGGCAAAAATGAGTGGATGGTTAGGAACACCAAGGTACACAAAGGATTAGTAATAGAGATTATGTAAGTTATCCAACAGGATATTTCTGCATAAAAGGAATTCTAATTGGGACTTTAAGTTGGTAGAAACGATCAAGCAGTACTCCCCACGATTCCGATCCAGAGTATGCTCCTATCCACCGATTCGGTAAATAACTATCAGGAACGAAGTAATCCTCTATTTATTTTTTTTGAAAGCCCCCCTTTTCTGAGAAAGGAGAATAGGAACGAAAAAATAAATAAAATAGAAAGAATTTCATTGCAATAGAAAAAAGGAAAAATCTTTTTTTATTCTTTCTTTCCTATATACATATTTAGAGAGACGGGCTTTTTATCATGATTCATGAACTAATGTAATGTCTAATTCTTTAACTAATGTAATGTCTAATTCTTTTTCGTAATTGAAAATGGTAGGTTGAAATATGTATGGATATTGCTACAAAAAGTATTTTATTGAAAGATTAAGTTATTACTCATACACAACAAAAAAAGAAAAATTATTAAAAGATGAGATCAATTCAGAAGCACTTTTTTTATTTATTATAAATAGAGCAGACAGAATTCCATTGGTCTAATTCGGGACCTTACGATAGATTTTGACTCTATCTATCCTACAAACATATCAAGATAAATAATATTGAATGCGTCCTTAGATTTATTTGTGACCCTCGAGGAGCCGTATGAGGTGAAAATCTCATGTACGGTTCTGTAATAGCGATGGAAACAGTGATGTTATCACCGACTATGATTATCTAACAGTTCAAGTACAGTTGATATAGTTGAAGCACAGTCAAAATATGGGTTTTGGGGATGGAATTTGTGGCGTCAACCTATAGGGTTTATCATTTTTCTAATTTCTTCCCTAGCGGAATGTGAAAGATTACCTTTTGATTTACCAGAAGCGGAAGAGGAGTTAGTAGCGGGTTATCAAACCGAATACTCAGGTATCAAATTTGGTTTGTTTTACGTTGCTTCCTATCTAAATCTACTAGTTTCTTCATTATTTGTAACAGTTCTTTACTTGGGCGGTTGGAATCTTTCTATTCCGTACATACTCGTTCCTGAGCTTTTTGAAATAAATAAAGCGGGTATAGTCTTTGGAACAATAATTAGCATCTTTATTACATTAGCTAAAACTTATTTGTTCTTGTTCATTTCTATCACAACAAGATGGACTTTACCGAGGCTGAGAATGGACCAACTATTAAATCTTGGATGGAAATTTCTTTTACCTATTTCTCTAGGTAATCTATTATTAACAACTTCTTCCCAACTTATGTCACTGTAAAGGAATACGATATTCACGACTTGTCTCAAACAAGAGAAAGAAACAGGCATAAAATTTTTTATAGATATTCGCGATATGTTCCCTATGGTAACTGGGTTCATGAATTATGGTCAACAAACAATACGGGCTGCAAGATACATTGGTCAAAGTTTCATGATTACCTTATCCCATGCGAATCGTTTACCCGTAACTATTCAATACCCCTATGAAAAATTAATCACATCGGAGCGTTTCCGCGGCCGAATCCACTTTGAATTTGATAAATGCATTGCTTGTGAAGTATGTGTTCGCGTATGTCCTATAGATCTACCTGTTGTTGATTGGAAATTGGAAACGGATATTCGAAAGAAACGATTGCTTAATTACAGTATTGATTTCGGAATCTGTATATTTTGTGGTAATTGCGTTGAGTATTGTCCAACAAATTGTTTATCGATGACTGAAGAATATGAACTTTCTACGTATGATCGTCACGAATTGAATTATAATCAAATTGCTTTGGGTCGTTTACCAATATCGGTAATTGACGATTCCACGGTTCGAACAATTTGGAATTCGCCTCAAATAAAAAATGACTAAACCCCTTGATTCAAGAGCAATTCCCAATTACTAAGGTTAAGTTTTGATCTAAACGAATACGGTTTTTGTTTGGTCAATAACTAAAAATCCAAACTATTGATTAGTTGGTGAGAACCGCGGCTCAATTTGGATAGAAAATCTATTTCTATATTTTATTCCATATTCGTAATGATTTCAAAATATATAGTTTCAAACTATCCTTTCGGATAAAGAATGAGATTTCTGTACCTAATACGCACTCATTAAGATTGAATTCAATTAACAATTAAGAAATCTCATAAAAAAATATAGAGTCACCTTTTTCCTGGTCAGGTCAATAAAGTCATGAAATATTTCGATTTATTTATTTCTTATTTTACATAGAATGGATTTACCTGGACCAATACATGATTTTCTTTTAGTTTTTCTGGGATTGGGTATTATATTGGGAGGTCTGGGAGTAGTATTACTTAACAATACAATTTTTTCCGCCTTTTCATTGGGATTGGTTCTTGTTTGTATCTCCCTATTCTATATTCTATCTAATTCCCATTTTGTAGCCGCTGCGCAACTTCTTATTTACGTAGGAGCTATAAATATTTTAATCATATTTGCTGTGATGTTCATGAATGGTTCAGAATATCACAAAGATTTTTATCTTTGGACCGTTGGGGATGGGGTTACTTCGATGGTTTGTACAAGTATTTTTGTTTCACTAATTACTACTATTCTAGATACGTCATGGTACGGGATTATTTGGACTACAAGATCAAACCAGATTCTAGAACAAGATTTGATAAATAATAGTCAACAAATTGGGATTCATTTATCAACAGATTTTTTTCTTCCATTTGAACTCATTTCAATAATTCTTTTAGTTGCTTTAATAGGCGCAATTGCTGTAGCCCGTCAATAATAAATTTTTAGAACTAAGAATCAAAATCCAATTTTGTTCTAGGTTATCACATTTATTTCCCTTCAATTCTATTTGAATTCGTGTATAAAATAGAAATGCTTTTAGTTTGATCTATTACTAATATATTCATTCCATACTTGTTATATTCGAGTCAATCGAATCGGTTGAATTGTTGTTCATATTGAAATAAATCGAGATCAATAAGGAGTTGGTTAATGATGCTCGAACATGTCCTTATTTTGAGTGCCTATTTATTTTCTATCGGTATCTATGGATTGATTACAAGTCGAAATATGGTTAGAGCCCTTATGTGTCTTGAACTTATATTGAATGCAGTTAATATAAATTTTGTAACATTTTCTGATTTTTTTGATAGTCGTCAATTAAAAGGAACCATTTTTGCAATTTTTGTTATAGCTATTGCAGCCGCTGAAGCAGCTATTGGACTGGCTATTGTTTCGTCAATTTATCGTAATCGAAAATCAACTCGTATCAACCAATCGAATTTGTTGAATAAGTAAAGGTAGTATTAATTATATAAATTCTAATAATCGTTGATTAATTTAGCATGTCTGCTACGTAAGATATAGTCGTGCTTGCAAAAAGGTAGGAAATTAAAGTATCTTGGTGTTCTCTTTCATAAGTCAATCCAGAAGTAAACTAATTAAAAAAATTCTGATAAATCATTGATTCGTCTGGTATCGAAATATATGATTCGTTTATAAGTTTACTAGATCGAAATTTTGTGATGTTCAAAAATGTATAGATCCCATGTCGCATTCAGTAAAGATTTATGATACATGTATCGGGTGTACTCAATGTGTCCGAGCTTGCCCCACAGATGTATTAGAAATGATACCTTGGGACGGATGTAAAGCGAAGCAAATTGCTTCTGCTCCAAGAACAGAAGACTGTGTCGGTTGTAAGAGATGTGAATCCGCTTGTCCAACGGATTTCTTGAGTGTTCGAGTTTATTTATGGCATGAAACAACTCGCAGCATGGGTCTAGCTTATTGATACGTTCCATAAAACTCCACTTGAATCCATTTGATTTTTTTTTACCGACAAAAACCCGTACTCGAAAATCAAATATTTTGAGTACGGGTTTTTCTGGTCCAAATGTATCTTGTCATTACCACGAATGATTTTCCTTGGTTAACAATAATTGTAGTTTTGCCAATAGCCGCGGGTTCTTTAATTTTCTTTCTTCCCCATAGAGGAAATAGGGTAATTAAGTGGTATACTATTTGTATATGTATATTAGAGCTCCTTCTAACAACCTATGCATTCTGTTATCATTTCCAATCAGACGATCCATTAATCCAACTAGTGGAGGATTATAAATGGATCGATTTTTTTGATTTCCACTGGCGATTGGGAATAGATGGACTTTCTATAGGACCCATTTTACTGACAGGATTCATTACTACTTTAGCTACTTTAGCGGCTTGGCCAGTTACTCGGGATTCTCGATTATTCCATTTCCTGATGTTAGCAATGTACAGCGGTCAAATAGGATCATTTTCTTCTCGGGACCTTTTGCTTTTTTTTATCATGTGGGAGTTAGAATTAATTCCCGTTTATCTACTTTTATCCATGTGGGGAGGAAAAAAGCGTCTCTATTCAGCTACAAAATTTATTTTGTACACTGCGGGGGGTTCCATTTTTCTCTTAATGGGAGTTCTGGGTGTCGGTTTATATGGTTCTAATGAACCAACATTAAATTTTGAAACATCGGCTAATCAATCGTATCCTGTGGTATTGGAAATAATATTCTATATTGGGTTTTTTATTGCGTTTGCTGTCAAATCACCGATTATACCCCTACATACATGGTTACCAGATACCCATGGAGAAGCACATTACAGTACCTGTATGCTTCTAGCTGGAATCTTATTAAAAATGGGAGCATATGGATTGGTTCGGATCAATATGGAATTATTACCGCACGCTCATTCTATATTTTCTCCTTGGTTTATCATAGTAGGTACAACGCAAATAATCTACGCAGCTTCAACATCCCTTGGCCAACGTAATTTAAAAAAAAGAATAGCCTATTCTTCTGTATCTCATATGGGTTTCATAATTATAGGAATAGGCTCTATAACCGATACGGGACTCAATGGAGCCATTTTACAAATAATCTCTCATGGATTTATTGGTGCCGCGCTTTTTTTCTTGGCAGGAACGAGTTATGATAGAATACGTCTTGCTTATCTCGACGAAATGGGCGGAATAGCTATCCTAATGCCAAAAATATTCACAATGTTCAGTAGCTTTTCGATGGCTTCTCTTGCATTACCGGGCATGAGTGGTTTTGTTGCAGAATTGATAGTATTTTTTGGAATAATTACCAGCCAAAAGTATCTTTTAATGACAAAAATACTAATTACTTTTGTAATGGCAATTGGGATGATATTAACTCCTATTTATTCATTATCTATGTCACGTCAGATGTTCTATGGATACAAGCTATTTAATGCTCCAAACTCTTATTTTTTTGATTCTGGACCGCGAGAGTTATTTGTTTCGATCTCTATCTTTTTACCTGTCATAGGTATTGGTATTTACCCCGATTTTGTTCTTTCACTATCAGTTGACAAGGTCGAACTTATTCTATCTAATTATTTTTCTAGATAGTTTTCATGAATAAAACAAAAAATAAAAAAAAAATCCTATGATTTTAAAAATCATTCGTTGTGCGATGAAAAAAAAGAAGTTTTTTTGTATTCTCTTAAGTTAAGTAAAAACAAAAAGGAATTTGAATTTTAACCATATATGTTTGGTGTTTGTGAGAACCATGTGAATCACTACACTACTTGATTCAAATGGTTCTCGCCGGCTTACACGAAGTTTTTTATATACACTGTACTCTGCTTGTATTCGTCAGGGCCCTTCTTGAATTCAACTAGACGTTAATGTAAATGAACCATAACTATGCAGCCCTATTCCTAATAGATTGACTCCAAAATAGCATATCCAAATTATAAGAAAGCCTATAGAAGCCACAATTGCGGAATTTGCACCCTGCAAATTTTTATTTGTTCGAGTATGTAAATAAATCGCGAATATGGTCCAAGTAATAAATGCCCAAGTTTCCTTTGGGTCCCAATTCCAATATGATCCCCATGCCTCATTAGCCCATACTGCTCCCGAAAGAATCCCTATGGTTAAAAAAATAAACCCTAGACTAATAACACGATAACTCCAATGATCCAATTGTTGAATCAATTGGGACCTGTAATAATTCCCAGCAGAAAAAAAAGAAGTATTTCCCAAAACATTGCTTTTTTTATTTATGTATTGGATTTCACCAAAGGAAAATGACTCATTTAATAAATGATTGCTTTTACAAAAAATCTTTATGTCTTTTCGAAATGTAATGACTAGAAGCGCTACTGATAATAATGATCCGCATAAAAGAGCTGCATAGCCCAATACCATCATACTTACGTGCATTATTAACCACTCGGATTGGAGAGCGGGTACTAATATTGTGGATTGATGTATTTCAGTTAAAAGGCCTGAAGTAGCAAAGCTTGGGTAAAAATAGCACTCGGTGCGGTTATTGCGCTTAAATGATTTTTCTTTTTTTTGAAATACGGAACTATGTGAATAATAGAGAAACTCCATGAAAGAAAAATTAATGATTCATATAAATCACTTAACGGGAAATGCCCCGAATAAATCCACCGAGTGACTAATAATCCTGTTATACAGAAAAGGGCAGCTATCATGCCCTTTTCTGACGAATCATATAGTCTTACGATTTCATCGACTAATAAGGTTATCAAATGAATTGTAATTACGATTGAAACGATCGAAAAGGAGATATGAGTTAATATATGCTCTAAAGTTGAAAATATCATAAAAAATCTTAAAAAAAAAGAGGAATCCCTCAATTACGGAAGGGAAATCAGGAATTGAGTTCATTATAGGATCTATTGTATCTTTTTTAGAAGATGGCATGCCGCCACTCGGACTCGAACCGAGATGCTCTAGCACTGCTTCCTAAGAGCAGCGTGTCTACCGATTTCACCATAGCGGCTTGCTCGAACTCATAATAGCCTATTCATATTCAATCGTCGAGATTAAAGGGGTCAAGTCAATGCAATATTTTTTAAGAAAGATTTAAAATGATGAATAAAAATTCGTTCAAATCGGGATTTGAAGGTTCAGTATTTTCATGTAGGGTGTCAGTTTTATTTAACTTAGGGCTTTCGTGTAGTTTATGCTCTCTTAGAATTAATTGAACTGTTGTAACTAGATAGTTCTGCCCTCAATCCAAGGATAGAACTCAAAATAAAATGTCTTTTCTCATTTTCATTTTTTAATGATTCATTTCTCATTTATTTGATTTCATAAATCTGAAACAAAAAAATGCATTTTATCAATGAACAAAAAATAGGATCTATTTTGAATCACTTAAAAATTAACACATTTTTGTACATAATATCGCCTTTTACCGATTAGGTTGAAAGCGAGAGGCATATGAGGGTATAGATAGTAATTAAAAGAAATAATGATTCGGAAAGTTACAAACAAAATTTGAAACTTAATGAATTAGTTTCAATGACCCTTTCATTTTGAATAAAGATCTTATATTTGCCCTTTTCCAAATATAGAAAGAAAGAAAACGTTTTTATTTTTTATTATTGTGATTGTGACAAGCGGGTCGATGGGGAAAATAAGAATCCCCACCCCGAAAATGATAAAATATACTAAAAAGAAAGGGAAAACCCCATATCTTATCTTTATTCGTTTTTTCAAACACAAAGGTATTATTTTTAGAATTCGGTAAAGAGACAAATTATTATTATATATATCAGAAAAGCAAGACGAATTCTATTTCATATTGATTAGTCCAATACAGTAAGTAATGGAAATTATTAATTATATTATAAATAAAATTAGCCAATTTTTCGAGTCAAGTTGATTCAGATTATTCCAACGTTTGATTATTTATTTGTTTGTCGCACAAAAAAACTTTTTGAATTTCCGGTAGAAAGGGATTTCGCTAACGAAAAGGCTTTTAGCGCTGCCCAATATCCCTTCTTTTTCCACATATTTTTTCGAATACGCTTTTTTGATATAGAAGTACGTTTTTTTGGAACTGCCATTTTAAAATTACGAGATCACTCATTGTTATAGTTGGATGTGAAAGACATCTATTGTTCAAAACGAATTGTTCTTTACTATTCATTATCTATCTATTTATTCTCTAGATAATATTCTCTTCATAAAAAATAAATATAGATATGTGAAAATCGTATAAAATATTACTAAAAAAAAAAAAGAATATGATATATGATTATTATGTGATTTAAAAAAATTGTTTTTTCTATTCCCTACAATATCTGGAAGAAAGAAAAATTTGTACTGATTGGTATCTTTATTTCTCATTCTTTCTCACTTAAATCTATATCTGTAGAATCCGATATATCATAGAAACGAAATTGGTTGAAGTTTATAAAATCCAACCTCCATTTCTGTTTCTGTCTATTTTCTGCGTTCGATATTTCATTTACATGTAATAAAATACATCAAAAAGTTTAAGAAACCAACTTTTCCCTACTGAAAAAACTTTCATCTTTTTTTCTATTAATTGGTCAAGCCCGAGGAAGGGGTATTTCTAATTTCATTTTTCAAATTTGAATGGGACTGGTAATTAATCTGTTAAAAGATACGTGACATAATACTAGTTAATAATTTTGAATAAACTAACTACAATGGCGAGTTCTTATCTCATTAGGCCAAGTTGTTGATCTTAGTTGATCCTATGATTAATATCAGAATCAAAGACCTTTTTTTGGTATAATTCTTCATCCTTGCTCTATGGGAGAGAAATTTTTGTAATAATACTAAAAATTGTAAGTTTTTCTATCTTCATAAATATCTTAATTAAGAACTAAGTATTCACTTTTTACTAGTAATTTATTTGACCAATTCTCATTTTTTGATTTGAATATTTGAAGTATTTAGGAAAGACTCAAAATAAATAAGAATAGAAAATTCTAAAATTCTCTTTAAGTTAGTTTAAGTTAGTGCATATCTTTATTTTTTTTATTGACTCCTTTCGAAAAAGGCAAGATCTGGCGAATCGGAAACAATTAATTACTTTTTATTTTTTATGGAACATACATATCAATATGCGTGGATCATACCTTTGATTCCACTTCCAGTTCCTATGTTAATAGGAGTGGGGCTTCTTCTTTTTCCGACG